TTCCTCCCCCGGGAAAATTTTGATTTCTAGATGGCGGGAAATGACCTTTCTCGACTTTTGAGCTAGGTGTCTAATTACTTTGTTCTTCAAAATTCAAGGTTTTTCCCCTCATGAAAACGGTAAGGTAAACTTTCTCAGCAGTCATACAAAAATCTTCAGACATTATATATTTTTCGCCAAAAAGTGGGGGGCCCGGGCCCCCCGGCCCTCCCGCTTCCGCCGGCCATGTGGTCAAGAAGTGAAAAGCCAAGATCAGATTTATAAAGCACACCTACCTGTCTCTTATACACATCTAGATGTGTATAAGAGACAGAATTTATATAGCGCCAATTTCAACTATACCGAAGTAAAAATCAAAGGCGCTTAACATTTAGATGGTAAAAAGGTGCGTCTTAAGTTTTGTCTTAAAAATAGCAACTGACGGTGATTGGATAATATGTTTGGGCAATGAGTTCCAAAGGGATGCTGCTGAAAATGAATATGATCTAGAACCAAAGGTTTTGGTGTTAATCCTAGGAACAACTAAAAGATTTTTATCAGAAGAACGGAGACAAGTAGGTGGGGCATACGCATGAATGAGTTCAACAAGGTAAGTGGGTTGTTTGTAAAATAGTGCTTTGAACGTTAATAGCAGGATTTTGTATTTGATATATTATGTGCTTGATTTCATTTATCTATTTTTATTTACTTTATTATTATTATTATTATTATTATTGTTATTATTATTATTATATTTTTCTCCCTTTTAGTTAAGATTTTAAACTTTAGAATAATATTTTAATTGCATTTGGATTTTTCATTACTATTATCTCTTTTTTTATGAATTTTATCTTTACTTGTAACATGTGTTCTGTTGTATGGTCGAACCTCTCCTGCGTGAGAGTGTTCATCTGCTTTGAAAGAGAGAGCCAATAAATTATTAATTTAAGCGTTATATGGGCGACACTACTGCAGGTTCATGAATAATTAAGTACCGGTAGCAATTTAATTTAATATTCATTCAACCAGAGTAGAGTAGAGCCCTGTGGAGCAGGAGTCTATATATTAATTCTTAGGGTACCGCTATTGCATTATGGGCATCGCTACTGCATTATGGGCACCACTACTGCGGGTGTTGTTATATTTTATATATTAATCCTTAGATGGGCACCGCTATTGCATTATGGGCACCACTACTGCAGGTGTTGTTATATTTTATATATTAATCCCTAGATGGGCACCGATACTGCATTATGGGCACCAGTACTGCAGGTGTTGTTATATTTTATATATATAAACCTTAGATGGGCACCGCTACTGTATTATGGGCATCGCTACTGCATTATGGGCACCGCTACTGCATTATGGGTATCGCTATTGCATTATGGGCACCACTACTGCAGGTGTTGTTATATTTATATATTAATCCTTAGATGGGCACCGCTACTGCATTATGGGCACCACTATTGCAGTTGTTGTTATATTTTATACGGTATTAATCCTTAGATGGCCACCACTACTGAATTATGGGCACCACTACTGCATTATGGGCATCGCTGTTGCATTATGGGCACCACTACTGCAGGTGTTGTTATATTTTATATATTAATCCTCAGATGGGCACTGCTATTGCATTATGGGCACCACTACTGCAGGTGTCGTTATATTTTATATATTAATCCTTAGATGGACACCGCTATTGCATTATGGGCACCACTACTGCAGGTGTCGTTATATTTTATATATTAATCCTTAGATGGACACCGCTACTACATTATGGGCACTACTACTGCAGGTGTCGTTATATTATATATATTAATCCTTAGATGGGCATCGCTACTGCATTACGGTCACCATTACTGCAGGGTGATGTTATATTTTATACATTAATCCTTAGATGGACACCGCTATTGCATTATGGGCACCGCTACTGAATTATGGGCACCACTACTGCAGGTGTCGTTATATTATATATATTAATCCTTAGATGGGCATCGCTACTGCATTACGGTCACCACTACTGCAGGGTGATGTTATATTTTATATATTGATCCTTAGATGGACACCGCTATTGCATTATGGGCACTGCTACTGCAGGTGTTGTTATATTTTATATAGGCCTATAGATCCTTAAATTTATTTATATATTATTTTTATTAATTCTTTCTTTATATTGTAGGCATCTTCAGTACTATCACACTGATTTTGAAAGTAGTACAGTTTAAACATAACAAAAATATATACAATATAAAGAATTGTTTAACAAAAAATGAAAAGAACATAGGCACCGCTATTGCAGTATGAGCACCACTACTGCAGGTGTTGTTATTTTATATATTAATCCTTAGATGGGCACCGCTACTGCATTATGGGCACCACTACTGCAGGTGTTGTTTTATATATTAATCGGATTATCCTTTGATGGGCACTGTAACTGCATAATGCCTAGTGGCCAGACCTACATCACCATATAATTTATAATATAATTCTTACCTAGACTAGGCCTAGCCTATGCCCTACAGTAGAGAAGGCTTATACCTTAGGATTTGGACTAGCCTTCATCCAGTGGTAGCCTAGCATTGACATGGCATGGCATGGGCCTTACAAGGTACAGAACATACAAAGAATACTAGGCCTATAGGCTATGCCTATATTTCACTTTGTTACTTAACAGTGGCGGCGCCAGCGGGGAGGGGGTTTGATCCCCCCATCGGTTTGGTCAAGGCCCCCTATCGATTTGATCAAGCCCC